CACTTTTATTGTCAAAATGCAAGCAAGGAACATTTAAGGCTTAGAACATTAACTACACTTCTTAACATCTTTTCATCCTGTTGTGGTCCATTTGTACTTCTTTCAATGTCAAATTATGCTCTCCAAAGTCCATTAAACTAGGCATCGACCGCTAATTTTTAATCACTGCAATGTTATATGTATAAATTAAAATGGATATTAAATTTAGTTTCTTTAAAAGTCTATCCCCCCCAAAAAAATAAAATAAAGCAAGAATATTTTCATAATCCTAATTTTATGACATTTACACGGTACAATCTTGAGATTTAGGGTGTGATTTTAGTTGAAGGCAGCCCACATCATTCCAGACCTGGAACCTGGATTGTGTGAATTCTGAAGTGAAATGACAGGAGCAGACTGTGGGATCTGATGCTCCCCAGTTATTGGAGGCTGTTGGCTGAAAAGTTATACTGGGTGAACGGCCGAAGTGGCAGGTTAATAGAGTGACATTAAGTGAAGCCTGAACTGCAAGAATGAATGGAAGTGACTGCTGTCTGTGTGGAGTCTGTATGTTCTCCCCTTGCTCGTGTGGGCTTCCTCCCACTAAGGTAGTGCAACGGTCATCTGTATGAACAGCACTGTGAGGGCTGAGCCCAGGCTAACAGAAGAAAGGAAAAGGCCAGACACTCAATAAATAAACTTTTATTCACCAGGCAGGGTCCTCAAACAGGCAGATTTTACACCTCCTCCCCAACACTCATCTCCAGATGAACCCCCCCAGTCACAGCAGGAGGAGTGGACAAAGAGTCTTTTCTCCTGTAAGGCTACAATATCTTCCCCAGGTCAGAAACAGCCAAACCCTTCCAGCAGTAACCACAAACCATCTAAAGCCTTCCTCTGCCCCCCTCTTAAAAGAAAAACAAAGTGGATTCAAATTAGGTCTGTATTTAAAGCTACATACATTTATAAATACGGTCTACTCAAATATCTCTGCAGTGGGCTTGGAAGTAATTTCTGAGTGTTATAGGAAATCAGAAACACCACATAGTCTAAATATAACATTCTGTGTGTGCATTCCTCGGTACTGAGGTCTCGGCTTATTACGGTATGAAATGAACATGTCTGACTCACATGAAGGATTAGGAGACTACAAGTATCTCCTAGTCATGCTGGAACGAGGGCATGTATTGCATTAATAAAGTTTTGGAAGCCTACTGATAATATATTTATAAGGCAAGAGAGAAGAGTGTGGCACACTGGTTAGCACTGCTGCCTTGCAGCACTGGGGCCCTGGGTTCAATTCCTGGGGTGCTGTCTGGGTGGAGTTTGTATGTTCTCACCATGTTCACTTGGGATTCTTCCAGGTGCCCTGCTTTCCACCCACAGACTGAAGACAGGCTGGTAGGTTCATTGGTTCTGGTGCAAGTGTGTGTGAAGTTTGAGTCTAGGCATCTGCCCTGTGATAGACTGGTGTCCAATCCAGGGTGTGCCTGTTCCTTACTGGGACAGACCGGCTCTGCCACATCCCTGTATGGATAAAGGAGATAGAAAATGGATGGATGGCAGACAGAACTTTTTGTGAAGGAGGCTGTGATAAGTGAAGGGAAGGCAAGGCCATGTTTTGTTAATGCAAAACCTGCGCGAGATTTGCCAGACATTCACCTACAAAATCTGCTTCTCTTTTCTTAGTCTATCTGCTCCCCTTTCCTGTGTGTGGTTTATTTCTGGCAGCACCTCTTATCTTTTTTCATTCATGTTGTTCCTTCTTGGACCATCGTCCAAAAAGAGAGAGAATAGTAGCTGGATCAGAACTGGAGAATTAAAGAGGGTCTGGAGGCTGTTCAGCTCCTGCCCGCGAGGAACGAAGACCACCAACTCTTTGTCGGACACCAGAGAGACAGAGGGGCAGGATCAGGATGAACCATCTGCTTTTTAGTCATGTAAGGCTTCATCAAGTGTTGAAATCGTGTAAATCAAATAAAAAAAAGCCAGGGCAAGAAAAAAATACAAAGCACGCGTGATGTGAGAAAGGAAGCACTCTGAAAGGTGACTCTACGTGCAGAGACCCATCACTCCTCACGCTCGTCACACAACACCAGCGCAAGACAGCTGGGCAGCAGGTTTTGACCACCGAAACTGCAACGAAAGCCTTTTAATGAGGAGGGGGAATCAGGGTAATTAAAATCAAATTAGTGTTTCCCCAGTCTCAGTACTGGGAACTCACATACACTACAGGCATACAATTTGAATACTGTTTGTAGAGTAGTAGAACATGTGAACGTTCTGATCCTTGCACTCCGGTATCAAATCACATGTTTAAATACTAGACACAGCAGCAGCAAAGGTTTTAAAACACGTGACGAGATGCTGGCCGGATCACAGGCCCAGGCAGTCTGTGCGTTCCTGGCTGGGACTAGAATGAGGCCACAATGATGAAGAGGAGCTGGGAAACAGGGGCTCAGTTTAAGAAGCCCCTGTTTCTAATACAGGACAATTCACCACAGATCCAGAGCAGCTCGGTCTATCCCCCACCCTTCTCCGCCTCTCTCAGAACATGGTGGTCTTGACCTCCCGGCTGAAGAACCCTCCAAAGTTGAGGTCCCGAGACATCAGCTCCTCCTCCACAGTCTCCAGGGCCCACTGGTGCTCTACGATCTCCAGCGCCTCCCACTCACTCTGCAGGGATGGAAAGCAGGAGTCAGACGGACCCAGACTGGTCACTCAGAAGAGCCCTGCAGGGTCTCAGCCAGCAGAAGTCACTCGGAAGAGCCCTCAGAGGAACTCTTGACATGTAATGAACCTATTGGATTTGTGCAGCAGAACACAAAAATAGTGTTTCTCAAAATCATTTGGTTCATTTGGTATTTTGCAAGTATTTATATATATATAATATATTGTAACGCATACGGCCACCGTTGCAGGTTGTGCGAGCCGGCTTACCAGCGTGGTGACGTCACTGCCCTTCCCTGTGAATAGCAGAGACCGCAGCCGCCGGGCTGATGGGAGATTTCCCTTTAGCTCGAGAGGCTGGGTCCCTGTTGAGTGATGCCAGAGGCCCGGGTTCGAGTCCCCAGCGGTGGGGAGCCGACCTGAGGCGGCAGTGGCAAGGGCGCATACCCACATGAACCCGAGAGCGCTACAATATATTATTCATCCTGCGACACCGTACGGTATAAAGAGGTTTGGCAAATGACATGACATGATGGATATTATTCAGGATAAAAAAAACACCATCTGCTCTTTTCATTTCCGGATTCAACCCATCCAGTCTTTGGCTTTTCAGGAGACCTGGAAGAAAATTTAAGGGGGGGGGGGAGAGAATTCTCTCACCTTGAACGCCTTGTTAGGGTCAGGGGGCATCGCCATGGCAGCTCCTGTCATGTGATCCTGCATGATGCGGGACTGGTCAGCAGCTGGAAGGGACATTGAAGGGTGCAGTTTAGACTGAGGTCAGAAAGCACAGAGTCTATCAACAAATTTTAAAATCCATCAACACGGGATTCTCTTGCCCTTCAAGAAAACACTCCCATGGTCCAAAGACATGCTGGAAGGTGAATTGACTTCTGGGAAACTGTCACTAGCTGTATGTGTGCATGTCTGTGCTCTGTGATGGACTGGCACCATGTCTAGGATTTATCTTGCTTTGCACCCTCTGATAGCCTGGATAAGCACCAGCTACCCCACGACCCTGAACTGGATAAAGCTGTTGGTAAATGAATGGATGGATGGATGGATGGATGATGTAACCAACCAGCTCCACCAAAGGAGCAAACATTTCAATTGTCGTGCTTGAGTGCCTCCTTTGCATTGGCGCTGAGCAGTTATTTTTCTTCTGCTCTCGAGACAGAAAGAGTTCTGCAGCTATCTCTGCTATTAGTGAGCAGACAAGGCACGCTGCTCTGTGGACTAGTCAGTGGCCAGAGAGAACAGAGAAACAGGGGTGGCTTGGATCCAGCTCTGACTTGCTCACCATTGTCATGACCCAGGATCAGGTTGTACATGCTGCGCAGCCCAAAGACATTCAGGAAATACCAGGACGCCGAGCTCACCCTACACAGAAAAAGATGGGGACAATCAATCAATCAATTCTATTCTTATACAGCGCCTTTTAATAGAGAGCTCTCTCATAGCACTTTACGTAAAAGACACAATACAAAATACAGTAGCAGAATATACAATAAAAATAGATATAAGTGAGAAATTGAGGATTTAGATTTAGAAAAGTCAACAGAAGCTGCATTTTCAACTGGGTCAGGAAGGGAACTTGGAAGACGAGGGGCTGCCTCTCCAAAGGCTGGGTCCCCCGATGCACGGCGTGGTGTCCTGTGGGCGTTACGGGACCCGGGACCAGCCGAGCGAAGGACAGGCACGAGGCTCACAGCCAGAGCAGAACGAACAGCGCGAACAAGGCCAGGGCAGCCGTGGGCCTGGAGGGGGCGAGAGGGCAGACCGGTGCGAAGCCGTACCAGGAAGCGTCCAGCGAGAGCAGCTCGATCCCGCGCTGCAGCATGGGCTTGAACCTCAGGGTCAGGGGGAAGGGCACCTTGGCTGTGCGGAGAGAGAGAAGACAGGGGGATCAGTGGGCAGTAGGCAGGCTAGACCTTCAGGCTGCACACAGCTGGGCTCATGTCCCAGCCCC